TGCAGTCACTGTCTACTTTGCAAATACACCTCAATGTACTTAAATTTCTGGTATTAGTTTTGTATATAAATATGATATCAAGTGAATTGAATGAAATGATTAAATTTGGAAAAAATCAATATTTAGTCTTTTAAATTATTCTATTTTATATTTTTATTTTTAGTTTGGTTTTATAATTTTTTAAGTTAATCCTTAAATTTTTATTATTTTAGTTTCATCCTTTAAATCTTTGTTTGATCATGGTCCAAAGACAATTGCTGATGCTGATGAAGGATCGCCGAAAAGGTTGAGTAGGCACCCTACAGATTGAGATGAATTTATTCATTAAGTCATATTTTTATTTTCTCATTTTTCTTTTATTATGTAAGGGTGAGCTGTGATATATTTTTTGTGTTATTAATTTTATGGTCAAAAACCATTATTGAATGTATGCATGATTTGTTATACAAGATAATTGAAAGGAAAAGACAAAAACGAACCATTCTAAAGATTTTGATTTTTCTCTCTCAATTTTTGGAGGTTCTTTGTGACCTTAAATTCAAGATATATTCATTTTATTTCACACCCCTATCAAAGTAGCATACTAAAAATAAATAAATAATTAGATGACTAAATTAAAAAATAAATTAAATTAAAGGATTACTAAAAAAATTGACAAAAAAAGACTATTATAAAATAAAAAAAGTTAAAATCTAAATAAAAATAAATAAAGTTAAATGATAAAAAAAACAAAGAGCTACTTAGTTTTTTCTAAGTTATTTATTATTATTATTTATTTATTTTTACTAAACATCAACATTTTATTAATGACAAATTTAAAATACAAAGGTATTCTAACCCGTTACATTTCTAAAGAAAATTAACAATATATGTCAAGAGATCATTAATCTAATTAATACATACAATCGATTTTTCCAAAGGCTTTGCTTCAAGTCACTTCCAAAAATAATATTTAATAGAATTAAACATTTCACTAGCATTTAACACGTTATTGAAGATAATATTATTTTATTAAAGTCAAATTGTTCATATTATTGCAAACTATACTATTACAACTCTTCTCCATTTCTTTTTTCTACATTGGATTTCATATATACTTAGTAATGTCTGATATAAATTTTTAAGTAAGTATAAACTGACACCAAATCATTCAAACACCATGTACCATAGTTAGAGATATCGCAATGCAAAAAAAGATGCAATATATTCTCATCTTTAGTGTCACATAACTCACAAGCTCGACGCATTGATCTTTCAAATCTTGTGTAAGACCTATATTAGAGTTAACTCCAAACCATTATTTGCAGTGAATAAATGATTAATGCAATGATAAACAAATTGTATATTATATTTCTTGTTACTATCACACTTTTACAACAACATATCATTTACATATTTTATGATTAATATAGTGATAAACAAATTGTATATTATATTTCTTATTACTATCACACCTTTACAGTAATATGTCATTCACATTATTTATTAGTATCTTATCCTTCATAGTTTTCTATAACTGCTATTGTAAATTCTTTTGTTATAAAAATAATTGTATTCTTTAAAGAATTTCTTACATCTATTGACCTATCTCAAATTATTCGTTAATCACCACTCGTATCTATTTATTAGTCATTGTTAAAAAAAATCTTAGATATAAATTTTTCAATATAATAATTTTTTTCTGATTTATCCTTTCAAAAACCGAAAGAATAAACATGAGTAGTTTTGTAACATTAAAATTTATCTATCTATCAATTTGCTTATCGATGCACATCACTGTCTTCCAATGGTCTAAAACATTGTGGTCTACAATCATTTAATTCTTTGATCTTCCCACCCTCAAACAAAGATCTAGCTTCATCTCTGATGGTGATGTTGTTATAATTATAACATTTGTTATTATTATTGTAATATATTATTATCGTTGTAAACTTTAAAAATCATCGACCCTTATACTATTATTATTGTACTGTTACTTTTATTAATATTATTGTCAACTCATCGCCACAGTTATTAACATTTTTTTTTATAGGCAAAACAAATCTTATTAAAAAGAGTTCAAGGGGAACTCAAAACCCATATACATAAAAAATTACTTACTCATAGAAATAAAAAGCAAAAATATACTTATGCAAAATTAAGACAGATGCAATTTCGTGGGTTCAAATACCAATCAGCTAACATAATAGTTTCTCCCTTACTAACAAGTGATAACCATTTCCAGGATCTCAGAATAATAGAATCTAGGACTTCCCTCTTATTCAAAACACCATTGGAAAATATAATTTTATTTCTATGCAACTACAAAGACCACACTGTACTTACCCAAATAATTAATAAGCATATTCCTTCTCTTTTACTACAGCCAACACCAACCTAAGAAAGCAAGTGAGTCGATAAATCTGAAGGCAAAACCAATGAGAATCCAAGCCAATGCGCAGTAAAGTACCAGATTTGAGATGAAACTGAGCACGCTAAAAATAAATGAGTTGGAAGTTCTTCCAAATCATGACAGAAACAACAAGTTATATCATCAATTTAAACACTACGACAAGGAAGTGCATTCAACAACAATTAATATCATCAATTTAAACACCACAACCACATTTATTAACATTATTGTTAGCCTTACAAAATAGCCTAAATTTCTGTTGCTCTTTATATTGTTTGACAGCTAGCGAATTAGCCTTATATATAACTTTTGTCTTGTTATCTATGTCGACAAAAACAAAATCATTCGAAGTTTCTTTTCAAGCCATCCATTTAAATTATTTTATAACGATCGAGAATAACGTGGATCATATGCATATCTTTAATTCAAAAAGAGATATATCAGTAATTTTTTTAAATAAAATTAAACAAAGTAAAATTCAATAATAAATAGTGAAAATCATATAAAAGGTTATACATAGTTAATTTAAAATATTTCTGGTCATTCTTTTAAAAAATACACAAGAAATTTACATTTATTTTTATGTAAGAATAAGAAAAAACAAGACAAAAAAAAAAGGAAAAGATTATCCATTCGAAAAGAGAGAATTAAAAAGAAATGAAGCAGTAATATAACCTAACACCCATTAAAAGTAAAATATCTATACATGAGGAGTTATTTTGGATCAATTGATCATTTTTTAAATACTGAATTTAAAAAGTGCTATACTTTTTAGGAAAAAATATTTATGATACATCTTATTTTTAAATTATATCAAGTAAAAAGAATATATATATATATATATATATATATATTTAAAAATATGATAAATAATGTGATGTGATATAAAAAATAAAAGAAAAATGATGTGAAAATACTCTATAAATATATGAATACAATTTTTAATTTTTTTTCTAACAAATATTAAATTAAAAGTTGAACATAAGAAAAATATTTATTATATCATTAAGATACGAATATAGTTATATAAGTATTTAAAGCGTATGACAATGAAAATTAAAGTTATTACTTACACAGGTATAAGACTAAATATAAATATTTAATTATATTTATTGAAATATGCATATGAAAATGAGTATTATAGTATTCAATATTTATATTTTATTCATTTTCATTCTTAACTATAATTTATATATTTTTTCTTATTTATTATATTTTTTAATATGCGCAACATTACATGGAATAAAAGTTAATAAATAATCAATTTTTATAAAAAATTATAGAATTTAATAATTTATTTCTAACAATAAAAAATGACATATATTATACACGAGTTTATTTGTTTATTATAAGATCTCAACACATGTGGTCGTGATCACTTTCCTTACCAATAATTCAACTTCAAACCCATAAATATGTACGGACGATCCCTATAATCGCTGCGGGGAACTGCTTTGCCAAAAAAACTCGCAATTAATGGTGAACGTGTTTGCCAACCTACGTTCCAGGATACCATTAAACAGATTAATTTCTTTTATCTGTATTTTAAAACACTTCTATATTTTATTTACATATATAATTAATGAGTTGTAAAACAAAAATATATTTAATAATTATATTAAAAGAATATATTTTTAAACATTATTTTTACTGTTACATAATTTTAAATTTAAATATAAAATTATTTTAGTTTTTTAAAATTTATTTTTATTTAATATAAAAATATATATTGTTATAATGTATTTTTTAAAATTTATAAATTTTTTTATACTTAAACAAAGTTATAAATATTTTTAAAATTTTAAAAAATTAATAATATTCATGAATAGTACAAAAGAATTACAACTATCTTAATAATTAATAATTCAAAAGGAGAACAATAAATTACCCTGAATTTCAATGGTAAAATATAAAGAATGATTACTTGAATTAAATAAATATTTAATTATCAATATACTTTTATGATTTTGAAATATTTTTATTTTTAACTAATATACTGATTAATAAAATTTTTAAAATATTCATATATTATTTTATAATATTTTTATCTCTTTATTTTATTATAACACATTGTTTACTACATGTGGCAAATTTCTATTTAAGTCAAAACTGCAAAGTTCATTATTTTATTATTTATTAAGTGCACATGGCGTGTCAATGTATTATGAATCGAGTAAAATGCAGGGTAAATTTACTATTTTCTAAAAATGAATATATTATTTGACATATGTTAATATACTAGTCATTATTAAATAAATTATATATATATATATATATATATATATATACTTTCTGATAATAAATTACATATATATATATATATTTTATTCAATAAAAATAATTTTATTAAATACTTTTAGCAAAGGATATTGTCGTTAAAAAATCAATATAAAATTTTTAATTTTTAAATAAAATATTAATTTACATTTTCATTAAGAAAAATTACAAATCACAAAAAATCTGAACACTTCGCGTAATTCGGAGGTCTCACAGCCCAGAAGCATTCAATTGTGAACCCTATTTTATTGGAATTATTAAAAAATATATTGTATGATTGTTAATTTTTTTTAGAGCAAATATATTAACTTGAAACTAAACGGCATCTTTGGTCCCCTCTATAAAATCTAGCGTTTGAGAGGCAAGAGATGTGCAAGAAGCATTTGCTTATTCTTTCAAAAGCCCTTTGAAAAGTGCGATCGAAACCAACTTTACAAAATGGGTTCTTTAGGCACAACGAAGAAACCCCATGCCGTGTGCATCCCATACCCAGCACAAGGGCACATAAACCCAATGATGAAACTAGCAAAGCTGCTTCATTTCAAAGGCTTTCACATAACCTTTGTTAACACTGAGTACAATCACAAACGCCTTCTAAAAGCAAGAGGCCCAAATTCTGTGAAAGGCCTTCCCTCGTTTCGTTTTGAAACAATCCCTGATGGCCTTCCAGAGCCTGATATTGATGCTACACAGCACGTGCCATCCCTGTCTGAATCAACTAGTAGAACATGCTTGCCTCACTTCACAAACCTCCTTTCCAAACTCAATCATTCCTCATGCAGTGTCCCTCCTGTGTCTTGTATTATTTCTGATGGTATCATGAGCTTCACTTTGGACGCTGCCCAAGAATTCGCCATACCTGTGGTCTTTTTCTGGACCACTAGTGCATGTGGCTTCATGTGTTATTTGCAATATCAGCGTCTTCTCCAAGCGGGCTTAACACCTCTCAAAGGTTTCTGATTTCTTTTAGCAAAATTCTAGCTCTTTCACCAAAACTGCTCAATACCATCGTCATGTCATTTCCGTCAAAATTTACCAATTCATCTAATTCAAAATTTACTTAACTAATAATATTTAAGGAAATTGTTTCCTTCAAATTTCTTATAATTTTTTTATAACTTCTAAAGAAGTCTTTGTAAAAAAATTATTATAAAAATAATGTTTTTATGTTAAAATAACTTATTTTCTTAAATTTTAAAGAAGTTAAATGAAATAATTTTTAAAAAATAGAAAAAATCTGAATTATAGCATAGTATAGTTTATTTTATAGTCCTTTCTAAGGAATATTTCTATTTAAAATTATGCTTTGATCTTCATTAGAAAATATTTTCCAAATTATATTCTGTACAATTGTGTTAATTTTTTTTCTATACAGAATAAATAAATAAATATTATATATTAGTTTTAAACTCTCTCTTTTTCAGGAGGAGAATAGAATGCTATTAACAAATTTAATGCTATTAGTAAGTGAAATTTCTTAATTCATATGAAATGATTCAAAGAATCTTTATATATGTGTTTAACCAAGTTAATTTTGGTGCAGATTCAAGTTACGTATCAAATGGATACCTGGAGACAACAATTGATTGGGTGCCAGGCATCAAAGAAATTCGACTGAGGGATCTCCCCACCTTCATAAGAACCACAGATGCAAATGATATTATGCTTAATTTCGCACTCCGCGAGTGCAAGAGAATTCAAAAAGCTACTGCAATCGTTTTAAACACGTTTGATGCCTTAGAGCATGACGTGTTGGAAGCGTTCTCTTCCATGTTCCCTCCTGTTTATTCGATTGGTCCCTTGAATTTGCTATTGAATGACGTCACTGATAAGGACTTGAAAGCAATTGGGTCCAACCTTTGGAAGGAGGAGCCAGAGTGTCTAGCATGGCTAGACACCAAAGAACCCAACTCTGTGGTTTATGTGAATTTCGGAAGCGTAACGGTAATGACAAATGAACAATTGATTGAGTTTGCATGGGGACTCGCTAACAGCAAAAAAACATTTTTGTGGGTTATAAGACCCGATCTTGTAGGAGGGGAAAACGCTGTTGTGCCGAAAGAGTTTGTGACAGAGACAAAAAACAGAGGACTTTTGTCAAGTTGGTGTCCACAAGAGGAGGTGTTAACACATCCTTCAATTGGAGGGTTTTTGACTCATAGTGGTTGGAATTCAACGTTGGAAAGTGTGTGTGGAGGTGTTCCAATGATATGTTGGCCTTTCTTTGCGGAGCAACAAACTAATTGCCGTTTCTGTTGTAAGGAATGGGGAATTGGGTTGGAGATTGAAGATGTTAAGAGGGACAGTGTTGAGAGGCTTGTGAGGGAGTTGATGGATGGTGAAAACGGTAAGAAGATGAAAGAGAAGGCGTTGGAATGGAAGAAGTTGGCCGCAGATGCTGCTGCTTCTCCAAATGGATCTTCGTTTGTTAATTTGGAGAACATGATTCGTGAAGTTCTTATTTAGTGTGTTGAAAAGGCTGGAATTTGCTTATGAATTCATCATTGAAGCTACATTTAAGTTCTTTTGGTTTGTTCGCCCAGTGTCCCAACTTAATACTTGTTTCTAAAGTTTGCTAGTATGAATAAATAGGTTTAGCTTGTTGTTCTCTTTTTATCTTGATTAAGGGTTTATTTGTTTATGATTAAAATAAAAGTGAATATAAGATTATGTAAACTTTTATTTATTAGAAGGTTCATGCGTGTAAAAATTAACTTATATCTGGTTATAATTATAAAAAGTTTTTTTTTTACTCGAAATGACTATTTTGAAAATATAATAATTATAAGAATTTATTCAAACCTCATGTAATAAAGTAAAGGTAAATTCTATTATACTTCTATATTTGAATGAGTATCAATACTCATGTGACATGGATCAATTAGAGGATATTTGAATTTGTATTATCTTTTTTTTTTTAAAAGAGAAAAATGTTTTTAAAAAAAGAAAACAAAACATATATTTTTTATTAATTTATATCATCAATTTTATTTTAATTTTAAAATACACCTTAAAAAATATTTTTTACATAGTTTATTTTTTAGAAATTCATATTTAATCAATTCTCTACTTTAGGAATGACAATGGGTAGGGTATGGATAAGGTAATATAGTACTAATCTCCATACCTCCGTTTAAAATAAATATCTATACCCAACCTCATACTTGCGTAGGTATAAATATTAAGCTTTATACTCGTACCTTCTGGGTATTTACATACCCATGCTCGTACTTATTACCCACACTTGTTTGAAAAATATATTTATAAAGAAAAATATTCTTATATAATTTCACATAAGTATTATAATAATATAAAATTTAATACGTAATTGTCAAACAAAGTACAAACATAGATTACAAGTGTTAAATGTATCTTAATACAACAATTTTCTAAACTAAAATTTTTAGAAATCATAAGTGAAATTAAACACTCAAGTTATTTGTCAGTGATGACGCTGTATTGTGTGAGATCTGACAGAATGACAACAACAAAGCGATGAGATAGATCTAGACGATGGATGGTCTCTCGTGTAAGATCACCTGGTGACCTTTTGTGGCAACATTAACAACTAGCTCTAATGAATAACGTTTCATGGTTGTTGTAATAGCTTTGAATGAGGCAAACATTAAAAATGAGAGTAAAGTTAGGACAGAAAAATTCAAGTACTAAACGATAAGAAGTTGACACATAATACATTATTTTTAAACTTTTAAATATGAACTTGTAAAAAAAGTAACAAATTTAATTAAAATAATATAATATAATTAATAATATATATATATATATATATATATATATATTAATACTAGTATTTTAACTCATGTACTATAAAAAAGTATTTTGTTAAAACTACAAATTTTTAAAAAATTATTTTATTGAATTAAATATTTATAATGTATATAAATTTTTAAAAAAAGAAGTTGAATAAAAGATAAATGGTCATAATAAAATTTTATAATTAAAAAAATTATACTTTTATATTTAAAAAAAATAATATATTATATAATTTTTTGGTTGACTTTATTATTAAATATGTTTTTATATTAATTTTATATAACTTCATATAAATAATATAATAATATAAAAATTTAATAAATAGTTATAAAACAAAGTTTAAGCATAAATTAAAATTTATATAAATAAAATAATATATATATACTTGTGTAGTAGATAAATACTTTATTTATTTAACTTCATTATCCCTACTTTAGTCTTACGCTCTTCTTACTTTTTTTTTCTTGCCATATACTACTGCAAGATTCTCAGAAAACCCACAACACAAACTAGAAGGAACTCTTTTCTAATTGTATAATATTGTGTTAGGTTAGGTTTCAAGCTGCCGATGATTTTGGATAGATAGATGAAGAAACACCGCCACAATGTACCAACCAATCAACTTCTCTTGAATTTTGAAGCGTCAAATTAAAATTGACAATTTCTTGTTTTCTTTTTTGTAATAATTATATTTATCTAATTTTTTAGGTAATAATCATAATATTAACTATCAAATATAAAAGTTACTTTCTAAATATCATTTTAGCTTGCTTTTCTAGATTATTTAACGTGAGTGGCAATTTTAAAATCTATAAATTGATGATATTTACAACTTAAAAAAATAAAATAAAAATAGAATTGATAAGTTTTTAAAGAAGTCTTTATTATAGAAAAAAAAATTAGCATAGAAAAGTTCTCTTATTTAACTTTTTGAAAATTTGAAAAAACAAGTTATTTCTAACTTCTTTATTTATTTTTTATATTTTGTTATTATAAAAAGTTTTTTAAGGAGTTTGCCTAGACTGGAGCTTAATGATATATGTTTTAACATATATAAACTTAAAGCCTAAAAAATCATCTAAGAATAAGTATATATGTGTTAAGATAGAGTATTTTAAGATTTTTACATGCCATGTATTTAGATAGTAAAACAATATATTTTAAAATATTATAAAATTTTAATTAAATAATTTTCATATCAAATAAAAATTTTAAAAAATTATTTTTTGAAATTTAAATTTTTTACCACGTTTAATTTTTTGTATTTATTATCCATACCTCTTTTTATACTTAAGTCTTATTCTTATTACTTTTTTTAAATCTTAAAATTCTTCGTCTAAACACAAAATTGTAGGTGTTTAAAAATAGATTAGATTATTGATAAAAAAAGATTAGATTAAAAAGACATTTATTCAATAATTTATTATTATATATAAATTTATGGTATAAAATTTTTATTATAATAAAATATATTAAATAATTATCAAAGTAAACTAAAAAAAAAAAGTATAAGCATAAGCATTATCTAGGGTTTCTCTTTTTTTTTTTTTTATTAAAATTTAAAAATAATTTGGATCTACACTCTGAGTGTAAAAGACGTTACGGGTTTAGAAAATACACTTTACGGTGCGTAATAGCAGGTCGATCGGGATTTTACTGGGTTTATAATACTAATTCGATACCGAGATAAACTGGTTAGACATTTTTTTTTTGTTAGATTAGAGGGGTGCGGAGGAACTTTGTTTTTTTCTCACAAAGCCCAAATAAAATAAAAAGCGGTGTTGGGTATTGATTGAGGTTCGGCCGTCAACACTTCATTTTAGTAGAAGAAAATTTGAATTCCTCTCTTATCGCTTCAGCACGTCAGGTCGGTATACAACAGGCCATCCGATCTAATTTTTCATAATATAAAATTATTTTATTTTTTATAATTATTTTGTTTAGACTACCGATATTTTTCATACGTAACTATATTTAAACTAGTTAAGATTATTATGAGTAACAAAGTGAACTCAAAACCATAAGTTAAAATGAATTAATTTTTTACCAGTTGACTAATAAATAATTTATATATTTCTTTAAAAAATCAAATTTGAATTATTTTAAGTAATTAAATTATGCAAAAACCATATTTTGAAAAAATATGTCAATATTTTTATTTAAAATAGTTTTTATTTAATTTAATTTTTTAATTTTAGAGTTTACGATAAAACTTATTTTTCCTTTCAAATTTATTATTAAGATACTTATTATCTCAAAATTTCTTTTTTATCTTCTCCTTCTTCATTTATTACATAAACAAATTTTGCAATGAATATAATAAAAAATTTATAATATATCTCAATATTTATTTTTAATTTAAAATAACTGTTACTTAAAAATATATTCAGTTTAAGAAAAGCAATGGAGCTTTTAGACTACTCCATTCTAAGTTTATAACAGTTTAAACTTAAACGAGTTACGTTAAAAAAAAAAGTCAAATTTATTTAAATTTTAATAATTAAACTCTATTTTTAAAAAAAATTAAGCTGATTCATAGGAGCCAGTTTTGTCGACTATACATCGATAATTATAATTTAGATGTCTATTTTAGTGACATTTTTTATGTGATTATATACATTTTAATTAAAAAAAAATGTAAATGTTAAAGTTTACACAACAAAAATATGTCAACATTGATATTTATGAAGATAGATGAAAATAATGTTTCGAATCAATTTTTATCATACACATAAATATAAACATTTGTAAATTTAGTTTTAAATATCTTTTTATTAATTTATAAAAATCAAATTTAAAGGTAATTTATACTTCAAATTTTTTTCTCATTAATAAATTTATAATAAGTTTAATAAATATTAGTTGTTTAAAAATATATATTTGTATTTTTTTATTTTATCGTATATACTTCAAGAATAAATTTATTCTAAATACTTTAATAACCTCCAAATCACACTTGTATTGATGTCCAAATCAAACGTCCTTTTCGGCGTTTTAACTTTGAGATCCTATGACATGATTAATTTTATTTTTAAATAATGAGATAAAAAATAAATTTGGTATTAAATTAAAAAATATATATATGAAATTTTACAATAAATTTAATTTTAAATATTAATATTTAATTTTAAATAAATTTATTTTTGTATAATTAAATATTTAAATTTAAGAATAGAAACATTGAAAAACCAAAAGACATGTAACGTGGCAATGCTTAGGCAAAATGTCAAATAGGGACCAACTTGCAGTAATGGCTTGTCGTACCTCACATCCCAGTTTGAGTTTACGCAGGTCTTCCATTAAGATGAGCCTCACCCCACCAGTGCGTAACGTGTTCTTATCGCAAGTTACGTATAAAAGCTATTATCTCTCAATTATAAGATATTATTATTCTATTATTTTAGTTAACATTAAAAAGTGACTATATCTTAATCACGAAGAATGTAATTTCAAGGAGAAAACCGTAAGCTCAATCGTTAATGCAAAAAAGATTTGATAAAATCATTATCTAGCGATGAACTAGTACAAACTGAATACAAACACTTCAATACAAGTCTATGATGAAAGGATGTTTTTTAGGCGTCTTAAACACTATATTTATATTCATTTTTGTTTGTTAGTGCTTTCTATCTTTCCTGGACGAAATATATATATATTACCCACAAGTTGCATCTAATTCAAATAAAATGGCTGTTGTTGATCCTTTTCACCTGACAATGCTTGTTGCGTCATGGGTGCGCTTTTCAATGAACGTCTTAATGGTCTTGTTTCACTGTTGAACTCTTAGTCCATCTTGAAAACATTTGAGAGATTACGCCAAATAAATAAATAAATAAAACTAAAATATCACGTCAAGATTAAAGAATAAATCAAAATTTTAAATATAAGTCAAATATAAAAGGAAAACATTAAAAAAGAAAGTATATGTCAATTTGATTTTTAGAAGCCCTTCAAAACTTAAATTTATAACCAAAGATTGTGTTTGAATTGAAATTTTAAAGAATATGATATTAAGAATGAGATAGCCTTACAATAAGAGTTAAATACAAGATAAATAATAAATAATAAATATAAATAATAAGTACAATCAATATATTTTTAAATTCTTACTAATTTATTTAAATTTTTTTATCATCTATGTGATAATTTTAAATTATTCTATTTAAAAGCAACAGAAAAATATTTATTTTGATATTTTAATTAGTTTTTTTTTTTTACTACAAGTATCCTTTATTTTTTTAAAAAAAACTAATCTTACTTTACCAAGATTGAACAAAACAACCTCACATAAGTCGATTTATGCATTTGATGGTATCGAATTCTAACTTTTAAGTTGAAGTGAAATACATTATTAATAAAAAAAATAAATTATTATTATAAAATTTTTTACAACACTAAATAAAAAAATTACATAAATAAAATAAATTTTTTGAAGTTGAGATATCTAAATATGCTTTTTGTAAGTATTATAGGGAGTAACTATTTAAAACAATAAGCGGACATGCATGATTAGAATGCAAAAATTGTTTTTAGTAGAAGTTGAAATGACAAGTCTCAAATGTTAAATCAAATACACGTTTTGAAAAATATTTGTATATAAAATAAAAATTAAATATAAATTCATAAATCTCACATTGAAGTATAATAATAGAATTTTAAAAACAAAAAAAATATAAATTGAATAACTAAATTATTTTTATACTAGATGGCTAAGTAAATACTATAACATCATAAATTTCTATCATGTTTTAAGTATAAAGATAAATTATTTATTCTTAAAACTCTTTTAAATCATCATATTAGTCATTCTACTTTTAAGGGTTGATCATTTCATTCATTTGTTTATATCTTAAACATATGAAACTAAAAAACTGTTAAAACATGAATAATGAGAGGAGAATAGGTCATTGGATATTGAACATTTGGAAGAATAAATGTTACATATTTTTTATAATTATACAAATTAGAAGTATATATACAATGAAACTAACAGAAATAACAACTAACACAGCAGAACTAACGACTTACTAATTAAATATATTATTTTCTAACTAACTCTAATGTATACACTATTTCTAACACTCCCCCTTAAGATGAGTGGTAAATGTCAATAAATCTCATCTTGGATATTAAATTTTGAAACTGAGTAGTAGTTACTGATTTTGTTAAAATGTTAACTAATTGGTGTTGAGTTTTAACATGAACCAACTGTATCAAACCTGAATTGACCTTATCTCAAATGAAATGAAAGTTTATCTCTACATGTTTGGATCTTTCACGAAATGTAGGATTTGTACAGAGATGTATGGTAGATTGATTATCCCAGAACACCAATGATGAGTCTATAAAAAAACTCAAAGTCTTTAAGTAAGACTACCATCTAAGTTATTTCACTCGCAACTGCAAATAAGGACCTGTATTCAGCTTCTGTTGAGGATCTAGATATTGTTGTCTGCCTTTTAGATTTCTAAGATATTAGGGAAGTGCCAAGGTGATAACATACACCCAGTCCACCGGTTAGCATGATATTGTCTACTTTGGGGGTTAACCCTCACGGTTTTGTTTCTCCCAGATATGACACACTAGGAAAAAGCCTCATGCTAGAAGGAAGGACGCCACAACTATTTAAAGACTGATAAGTCACTCCCCCCCACCGATGTGGGACTCATCATCCCCTCCCTCTTCAAGAGAGTCCGCCACGGACGCACCGATAAGGCATTTAAGCCGCCACGGATATGCCGATAAGGTCCATCGGCTCCGGCCCAGGCTCTGATACCAAATGATAACATACACCCAGTCCACCGGTTAGCATGATATTGTCTACTTTGGGGGTTAACCCTCACGGTTTTGTTTCTCCCAGATATGACACACTAGGAAAAAGCCTCATGCTAGAAGGAAGGACGCCACAACTATTTAAAGACTGATAAGTCACTCCCCCCCACCGATGTGGGACTCATCATCCCCTCCCTCTTCAAGAGAGTCCGCCACGGACGCACCGATAAGGCATTTAAGCCGCCACGGATATGCCGATAAGGTCCATCGGCTCCGGCCCAGGCTCTGATACCAAATGATAACATACACCCAGTCCACCGGTTAGCATGATATTGTCCGCTTTGGGGGTTAACTCTTCACGATTTTGTTTCTCCCAGATATGACACACTAGGAAAAGGCCTCATGCTAGAAGGAAGGACGCCACAGCTATTTAAAGACTGATAAGTCACTCCCCCAAACTGATGTGGGACTCATCATCCCCTCCCTCTTCAAGAGAGTCTGCCACGGACGAACCGATAAGGCACTCAAGCCGCCACGGATACGCCGATAAGGTCCATCGGCTCCGGCCTAGGCTCTGATACCAAATGATAACATACACCCAGTCCACTGGTTAGCATGATATTGTCCGCTTTGGGGGTTAACCCTCACGGTTTTGTTTCTCCCAGATATGACACACTAGGAAAAGGCCTCATGCTAGAAGGAAGGACGCCACAGCTATTTAAAGACTGATAAGTCACTCCCCCCAACCGATGTGGGACTCATCATCCCCTTCCTCTTCAAGAGAGTCCGCCACGGACGCACCGATAAGGCATTTAAGCCGCCACGGATATGCCGATAAGGTCCATCGGCTCCGGCCCAGACTCTGATACCAAATGATATGAACCCTATTTGCACAAGGGCTGACTTAGGATCTTTAGGGTTAGAACCTTGTAGAAAAATTTGAAAATTTAGTGATGAATTTTTGGGCAAATTAGGTGTTGGTCCATGGTGTTAAAATAAGTGAAAAAGGAAGCAAAAACGCTGGTTTGGTGGTGGCTGGACAGAATTTTAGAAATGACGGTATCTCGAGTTATAGAACTCCAATTGAGGTGATTCCAAAACGAGGTGAAAGCTCTCGTTCTGAAATTCAATTTAGGCTCAAGAATCACTCAATTTGGTTGAGTATAACGAGAGTTATGATAACGAGATAATTCTGGGCAGATTTGAGTTTTTTGGAACTTTGGTGAAGAATTGAATGGGGGAAGGAAAGAATCACTCTTTCCAAGGAAGGCAACACACAAAGGGATGTGAAAGTCCTTTGATACAGCCAAGGTGTTCTTGAATCACTCAAGAACTTAGGAGAATCACTCTCACTAAGATAAAAGAGATAAACTCTAATATTTCTGAATGAAACTTAACTTGTCTTATTGATAAGAATGGTTCAGCTTATATAGAAGCTTTACCATCAAAATTACAAAGGTTCCGTAACGGAAAATGAAACTACTTGATGGCTGATTGTAACTGAAATTGTGGCAACCAAAAAGTCACCCAACAGCTACTATGCGCCTCTTGGTCTTCCAAAGGCTGATTGTAACTGAAATTGTGGCAACCAAAAAGTCACCCAACAGCCACTAGCTATGCGCCTCTTGGTCTTCCAAAGGCTGATGCCTAAGTTGCCAATTGGGCCCTTATTACAACTTGAAATAAAAACCAAACCAAAGCCCATTAGTTGATTAACCACAAAACATAATTTGGTCAGTCAACTTTACAAAGGATTGGGCCATTATTTAAAACAAACTAAAAACTTAAAAACTGAAGCAAAGTGGCGCCTTAGTTCTCCTCCATTTGGGCCATGATGCAATTCACAACCTTGGTCTTTTCTCCTTGAAACTTGGGCTTGTATTCAATTAATATGGACAACACTTGTTGAAGAGCTTCTTTTGCTCTCCTTGCTCTAACCCTTGTCATAGGTCCTCCAAGTCCTTCAAGAGGATCCTTGCCCTTGCTCATGGTCATGTCCTCATCAATCAGCTACAATGTTACCTTTTCCTCTTTTATGTTTGATAACATAAGGGAATTGCTCTAGAAATTCCACCCACTTGGCATGCCTTTTGTTAAGCTTGCCTTGTCCCTTGATATATTTGAGGGACTCATGGTCACTATGAATGACAAATTCCTTGGGATAAAGGTAGTGTTGCCATGTTTTCAAAGCTCTCACTAAGGCATACAACTCTTTATAATAAGTTGAATAATTAAGGGTAGGACCACTTAGCTTTTCACTAAAATAAGCAATTGGATGGCCTTCTTGCAACAACACAGCCCCAATCCCAACATTTGAAGCATCACACTCAATTTCAAAAGATTTTTGAAAGTTTGGCAAAGCAAGTATGGGAGCATTAGTTAGCTTTTGCTTAAGAGCTTTGAAAGCTTCTTCTTGTTTCTCTCCCCATTTGAAACCAACATTTTTCTTAAGCACTTCATTGAGAGGTGCTGCCAATGTGCTAAAATCCTTCACAAATCTCCTATAGAAACTTGCTAAACCATGGAAACTTCTCACTTCAGTCACGGACTTAGGTGTAGGCCATTCTTGAATAGCCCTAACCTTTTCCTCATCCATTTATACTCCTTTTGAACTTACAACAAAACCAAGAAACACAACATGGTTAGTACAAAAGATGCATTTTTCAAGATTGACATACAATTGTTCTTCTCTAAGCACACACAAGACAGATTTTAAATGATCAACATGCAATTCAAGTGAAGTGCTATAGATAAGAATATCATCAAAGTACACCACAACAAATTTTCCTATGAATTTTCTCAAAACATGGTTCATTAATCTCATGAAAGTGCTAGGAGCATTAGTTAAGCCAAAAGGCATAACCAACCATTCATACAAACCATATTTTGTTTTGAAAGCAGTTTTCCATTCATCCCCTTCTCTAACCCTAATTTGATTGTATCCACTTTTTAAATCAATTTTAGAGAAGTAACATGCACCATGCAATTCATCAAGCAAATCATCAAGCCTAGGTATAGGATGCCTATATTTAATGGTGATGTTATTAAGGGCTCTACAATTAGAACACATGCGCCATGTCCCATCCTTTTTAGGAACCAAAATTACCGGGACAGCACAAGGACTCATGCTATCTCTTACCCATCCCTTACCAATGAGTTCATCCACTTGTCTTTGGATCTCCTTGGTCTCTTGAGGGTTGCTTCTATAGGCTGGCCTATTAGGCAAAGAAGCTCCTGGAATGAGATCAATTTGATGCTCAATACCTCTTAATGGTGGCAACCCACTTGGTACACTTGTTGGAAACACATCTCCAAATTTCTATAAAAGAGACTTCACTCTAGAAGGCAAATCAAGGTTATCAAAAGTGTTAGTGGTCAAAACATAGTTTTTGCAAATTAACAAAAATAGGGGCTGTTTAGATAGAAACAACCTCTTGACCTCATTTTTTGTAGCTAAAAAGCTCTCCTTCACCTCAAGTGTTTTACTCTTTTTCCTCTCATGTATTTCTCTCTTTTTGTCCTCACTTTTTGAGCTCTCAAGTGTTTGGCTTTCTTTTTCTTTCTTTTCTTGGACAATCTTTTCTCTCATTTTTCTTTGATCCTCACACACCTCTTGCGGACTCAAAGGTTTGAGCACTATCTTCTTGTCTTGGTGCATGAATGAGATTTTGTTGGTGAAACCATCATGATTGGCTTTTTTATCAAATTGCCATGGTCTCCCCAAGAGTAAGTGGCTGGCCTCCATAGGAACAACATCACAAAGCACCTTATCATTGTATCTTTCAATGGAAATATCCAACTCTACTTGCTTCCTTACTTGCACCTCTCCATCCTCACTAAGCCATTGAAGCCTATATGGCCTAGGATGTGGCTTTGTAACTAAATTCAATTTAGACACAAGTCTTGCACTCGCCACATTGGTGCAACTCCTTCCATCAATGATCACCATGCAAAGTTTACCATTGATCAAACATCTAGTATGGAAGATGTTTTCTCTTTGGCTCTCCTCCAAAGGCTTCAATTGGCTACCAAGTAACTGCCTTATCATCAACAAGTCTCCCTCTGGTGTTTTCTCCACCTCCTCCTCCACGTCCTCATTCTCCTCTCCCTCTTCAATTTCAGACTCACTTATATACTCTCCATCTCTAAGAATCATGGTTTTTTTTGTTAGGGCACTCATATGCATAGTGTCCTAAGCCTTGGCACTTAAAGCACTTCACATCCCGACTCCTTTTAGAGGGTTGCTCTTGAGTTTTTAGAGGAGTTTTTGTTGGTGTAGGCGCTGCACTAGAAGTGGCAGCCCCTTTTCCCTTATCCTTCCAACTAGAAAAACCAAAATTAGTGGAGCTCTTTTTGGCCACACCTTTCCTTTTTAATTGTTGCTCCACTTGGATTGCTTTGTGAAGCAAGTCCTCCATTTCAACAAATTCCTGCAGTTCAACAATATCACGAATATCATTATTCAAACCACTAAGAAATCTAGCCATAGTTACCTCCTCATCCTCTTCTATCTTGGCTTGAATCATGAGCACCTCCATTTCCTTGTAGTACTCCTCAACGCCTTTGCTACCTTGGGACAATTTTTGAAGTTTGAATTTTAAGTCCCTAGAATAGCTTGCCGGCACATATCTCTTCCTCATGATCCTTTTCATTTCAACCCATGTATCCACCAATGGCTCCTCATTCCTAGCTCTCTCTTTTTGCAATTTGTTCCACCACACAAGAGCATAATCGGAAAACTCCATAGCTGCAAGCTTTACTTTTTGGGCCTCTTCATAGGTATTACAAGTGAAAATATGCTCTATTTTGATCTCCCACTCCAAATAAGCTCCCGGGTCACTTCTTCCTTTGAATGGAGGAATAGAAATTTTGACTCCATCAATTCGGTTTTGTCTAGGAGCACCGTCATTACCTCTTCTCCTCTTTTCTTCTTCATCATGACCTCTATTCTCCAATTGGTCCAATCTTTCATGGAGCTCATCATTTTGTTGCCTCATCAATCTCTCCAAATGTTGTGTCAAGGCTTGCATTTGGAAAGGAGAAAGTCCTCCTCCTTGATTAGGATTTCCTTCAGCCATCACAAACAAACAAATTCAAACATAACAAGCAAATAGAAAGTAGAATTGAAACCTCACCACACTCAAGTGTATCACACAATTATGGCTTTTTCTCTAATGAAAAGACTCTTGCCTTTTACCACTCAAATTTTCCTTGGGTTCTTAGGCAATTCAAGATATTATGGCCACAACAAAGAACAATCCACCAATATGTGCAAGGTAAGGCTAGGTAGACAAAGAAAAGGCTAACAAATCACAAAAACAAAGGGGTAAAGAAAAATTGGTAAACAAGAGAATTAGCAACAATCCTTTAAGAACACCAATATATTACCTTATAACAAATTATTGAAAAGCATGAATCATTCAGCCCAAAATTTTCTTCTTTTTTTTTTGTTTTTTAATAAATTTTTTTTTTCACAAGGGCCTAACTTTTGCAATGATTCAGTACAATCACAAATAAAATGAACAATAAGGTAATCAATTGGCAAAAAGAGAATGAAGGAAGGATGTTACCAATTTGATGTTCAAACCCTTAAACCGGAGCTCTGATAACCAAATGATATCATACACCCAGTCCACCAGTTAGCATGATATTGTCCGCTTTGGGGGTTAACCCCTCACGATTTTGTTTCTCCCAGATATGACACACTAGGAAAAGCCCTCATGCTAGAAGGAAGGACGCCACAGCTATTTAAAGACTAATAAGTCACTCCCCCCAACCAATGTGGGACTCATCACAAGGAAAACACAAAAACTTGTGGTTGATCATCTCGTGTCGACACAATTACCCCAATCTGCATCAATATATCCTTTAAGGATAAAAAATGTTGTTGCTGAGAAAAATAAATCTTGACCCTGACTCGTCTTAAGATTACGCAACAGATGATGTAGAGCATTCAGATGAAGGACACATGGAAAGACATGTATTGGTTTAGCTTATGCATTGTATAAGAAATATCAGGATGAAATATGGTGAGATATATAAGCCTTCTTATTAATCTTTGATAAATTGAGCTATCTTCAATCATATCTCCTTCTGTAGTAGATAGTTTCAAGTTTGGATCCATTGGCAAGGCAGCAAGCTTGAACCCTATGAAATTAGTATCCTTAAGAAGGGTTAAGGTGTATTTTCATTGAGACAAATGTATACTTTGTGCAGATTGAGCTATTTCCCAATAAATACTTCAAATCGCCTATAACTCTTAGTTTGAACAATTTTTGCAGTTTGTCCTTAACTTGTTCAACTAGTGTGCAATTAGGACTAGATATTATGATATCGTCAACATAAACTAGTAGTAAGATCAAGGAATTACTCGAACTAATGTGAAAAAAAGAGTAATCACTCTTGGATTGCACAAAATCGTGATTTGTTAAAGTATGAGAAAACTTATGGAACCATTGTCAAGAGACTTGTTTTAAGCCATAAATGGATTTGTGAAGTTTGCATACCAATTTCTCCCCCCTGAATTGGATACTATGGTGGTAAGTCCATATAAACTTCTTCAAAGAGATCTCCATTAAGAAAGGCATTGTTAATGTCTAATTGAAGCAATGACCAATTTTTAACAGCAATTATCCTTAATAAAATTCTCATTGTGGTGAATTTTGCAACATGAGAAAAAGTGTCCAAAATATTAATTCTCACTTATTGTGTATATCTCTTAGCCACTAATCTTGCCTTATATATATCCACTTGTCAATTTGACTTATATTTTACCTTATAAATCAAACGACACCCAACACTATGTTTTCTTTTAGGCAATGGAACCACAGGTCAAGTGTTATTATCTTCTATTGCTTTGAGTTTCATAGTCATGGCTTGTTGTCAATGAGGGTATTTAGCTGCTTGATGCTTGATGGTAAAAGATGGGTTCATATTCATGGGAGACTTGAGAAATAAATTCTTTATATGTAGGTTGAAGCTTGGCATAAGAAACAAAAATTATAATAGGATACAAGTCAGAGGTTATTGAGCATCGATAATCACTGAAATATGATGGAGGTCTAGAAATTCTTGAGGAATGTCTATTGTTTAAAGAACCAATGTTAGGTTGCTCAAATATTGAAGTTGCAGTATGAGGTAAGGAAGTTCGTTGGCTAAAGAAATTATAAAGAGGAATAGGAATAACAGTATCTGCAAACAACTCAGGTAGGAGCTGATCTCCTTATGGAAAGAAAATATAGATTCACAAAACTTAACATCCTTACTAATAAAAAAATTTTGTTTCCAAATTATAAAGTTTATAACCCCTATAACAAACTGGATAACCAACGAATACAACAGCCACAACTTTGGGGTTGAATTTAGTTGTGGGGGTTTCTGAAAAAGTAACGTATACGGAGTAGAAAACTTCAATAAGGGACTAGGAACCTTGTTGACCAAGAAGGTAGTAGTAGTAATACATTCCCCCCAAAAAATATGGGAACTTTGGATTGAAAATATAGAGTACGAGCTATGTTGAGAAGGTGCTAATGTTTTCTTTCAACTATTGCATTCTGTTAAGGACATTAAACACAAGAAAATTGATGGATAACACCTTTCTCTTGCAAAAATAAGGTTAGAGCCAATTTCTTGGCATTGTCAGATTGTAACTATTTAATTGTCTTTACAAATTAAGTTTGAATTAGTGTAAAAAATCTAATAAGTAGTGTAGTAGCTTAGGATTTATATTGCAACAAATATGTCCAAATGAATCTGCTGTAATTATCTACTATGATTAAGAAAAACTTGCCATTATAAGTGGAAATATGAAGACCCTAAATATTGCAATGAAGTAAATCGAAAGGAGCAGTACAATGTTGTTATTAGAAGGAAATGAAAGGCATCTAAGTTTAGCCAAAGGACAAATATCATAAACATAAGAAATATTTTGCAGTAAAGACAAAGTATCAACAAGTTTATTTAACACTTTATTTGATATATGACCTAATCTAGTATGCCAAATATCAAAAGAAACATTATTCACAGAAGTAATTTTAGTGTTAGAACAATGTTGTGTAGGAAAAATTTGTTGTAAGACATAAAGCTCTTCAAGCAAATCACCCTTGCCAATCACCTACGAAGAGAGGTTGTTTTGAAAGAAACAAGCTTTATCAATAAAAATGACAACATTGGAAGATTGTGTTAATAAAGCATGTATTGAGAGTAAATTGACTCTAAAGTTAGGGACATAATGCACATTATGTAAAATGAGATTAGGATTAATATAAACTGAACTGGTAGATAATAGTACAAGAATTCTAGTATGATTTGGTAAAGTGACAAAAAAATTATAGACAGATATATGAGAATGAAAAATTGAAAGAGTTGATGTAATATGAGATGCTGCTTCACTATCAATAATCCAAGTGTATAACTCAAAACTAGATCTAATGTGATTAGCTGAAACAATGATACCTCTCGAAACCATATTAGAAGTATGTGTCTCTATCTGTGTCTCTATCATTGGCTTGATCAGTTGAGCACTTAGCAGAGAAACAAAATGTTGGTATTGAGCCTCAGATATGGGAGCCTTGGCATCATCTAAAGGAACAATAGGAGCGATAACATCCTCCTGAGGATCATTAAAGACATGATACACAATTGTTTTCCCTTTACCTTTGCCATAACCTAGTGGAAAACCATGGAGTTTATAGCATTTATTCACTGTATGGCCTTATATACCACAATGTGAGCACAATGGTCCATCCTTCTTCCTACTCTTAACCTTGGCAATAAGGACAGGTTGTAATGAGTTTTTGACAGCAAATGTAGCTTGAGTAGTATCAAGAATAAGTTGAGATCCAGCCACCTCTCTTTGTTTTTCTTTTTGAACAAGAGAACAAAGCTTATTGATTTTAAGAATTGGCTCCATAGCTAATAGTTGTCCACAAATAGCAGAAAAAGATTCATCTAAATCAATGAGGAAACACATGACATATTCACGTTGAAAAAATTCCTGCATTGGACCATAGCGGCCACAATTATACACAAAATTTGGCTTATAACAACTAAGTTCAGCCCATAGTGTTTTGATATTGGAAAAGTAGTGTATAACAATCAAATTTCCTTGACAAAAATTGACAATTTCACGTTTTAATGTTCATTACCATAGAAAAAATGAGGTTTCAGATTTGACCGCATAGTAGCAACACTATCGCAATATATAATGCTCTCAGTAAGATCCTTTGAAATAGAATTGAGTAACCAAAAACTTATAGTGTCATTTGTACATTGCCAAGCCTCAATGAGTGCAGGATCAATAACGTCACAGGGTCTTAGAATAAATCCATTCACAAATCCCAGTTTTTATTTGCAGTTGAGCACCATACGCATTGCTATTCTCCATCAATAATAAATTTTCTCAATTAAAAGTTGCGAGACCAAAACAAATCCTGAATGGTTGGAAGAAGAAATAGTATATGGATCTAAAACTATTGCATGATGCGTCATGAAGATGTAGGAACAAGAAAGTTAAATGAACAAGGAGTATTGTGCCAAACTAATCAAGAAAGGAAAAGAAAAATGCATAAGCAAAAGAAAACAAAAAATTATTATTATAAAATTTTTGACAACGCTAAATAAATAAATTACATGAATAAAATGAATTTTTTTGAAGTTGGAACATCCACTTAAGCTTTTTATAAGTATTACAGTAAATGACTGTTTAAAGCTACAAGCTCGTGAAGGACATACACGATTAGAATGCAGAAATTTCTTTTGGTAGCAGTTAAAGTGATGTGTCTCGAATGCTAAATCAAACACACATTTTGAAAACAATTTGTCAATAAAATAAAGAATTAAATATAAATCCACAAACCTTACAATGAAGTATAATAATAGAATTTTAAAAATAAAAAAATATAAATTGAATAACTAAATTATTTTTATACTAGATGGTGAAATAAATACTATAACTCATAAATTTCTGTCATATTTTAAGTATAAAGATAAACTATTTATCCTTAAATCTCTCTTAAACCAACTGATTAGTCATTTTTTTTCCTTTAAGGGTTGATAATTTGTTTATATGTTAAGCATATGGAACTCGAAAACCAAAATAAATATAACAGTCATCAATATATATGCACGAAATATGATAAATATATATTAAATGATAATAGAGTTTTTTGGCCTTTTTATTTTAATAATACTATTTTAAAAAATAATTTCTAAAATAGGTATAATTTAAAACTAATTCTCCGTTTGGTGCTTTTTTAGCCAACTCATCACTAGTCTCGTACCTATATAGACGATAGCATAATTTTATTATTATTTTAATATACTATCATCGCAAACAATTTGATACATAGCCCGGTTAACACGTGTCATCACCAGATATGTATTAGAGAAAAGAAGTCGATAGTACTGTTGGTAATCCAAGTGTGTTAACACTATCGTTTAAGATTGGACGATATTGTTAGAGATATTTTTTTTTTGCTAAAACAACAAATTTAATTAGCAAACAACCAAACTTTTCGATACGTATGTACCAAACTTTCCACTGAACTAACATGCTCTTTTTGTTGTTTACACTGATCATTGGAATCGTGGTTCGGTTGAATTGAGCTTTTTGCATCATTTGAAAGTCTTCCATTTTGAATGTTTTGATACACAAAAATTGCACGATGATTAGAGGGACTCTTTGTGGCTAGATTATGTTCCATTTTCAGTGTAGGAACAGTCTCAATGGAGCTATCTTTTGGAACCTTTGATTCATGGTTTTGAGGCCTCTTGAATTCATTTTTAGGCTATGTTAAGAGTATAGTAGAGTGTAGTTTTTAGTTGATTTTAATCTTCTTTTCTTCTTCTTTAACTTTTTATTTTTTATTTTTCTTCCAAATTTATTGGATATTAATTGCAAGTTATTCAGCGCCAAAGCATAGACCTATGTGTGTCAAGGTCATCCTGTACCAAGGCGCAAGCTTGTGTGCGCTATGGTGCTTATCATAATTAGGTAATGAAGTTGGAGGACTTTCAGCGCCAAAGTGCAGACGTTTGTGCACTAAGGCACAAACTTACTAACGTGGATAAGAATACATATTGTGTAAGATAAAAGGAATTGTGAGACACATTGTAAGGAGGCAGAGTTTTTTGCAAGAGAGAACCAAGTTGCAACTCATTTAGGCCAAGAAGACTAGAGCCATACTTTGGGTCTTTGGAGAGAAAGATTGGAGAAGATTTCCAGACTCATTTTTTTTTTCAATAACATGGCTAAGAGAGCCTCTCATTCTTTTCTTGTGTTTTTGATTTTTGTGATGGATTGTTAAATATTTGTAGTTAGGGTTGATGAATCCCTTTAGGATTGTGATATAATTAGATTCTTAACTCTAATTTAAACTTCTTTTAATGTTAGCTTGTAAATATGCTATTAATGCTTGGTATGAACTAGCTAATCATGTTTTGTTTTGATGAACCTTCTTGACATTGAAAAATGGAATAAGTGGTTGTGCTTCTTAATTTACTTGCCTCATCATTTAATTTTTTAGGAATAGAAATTATTGGGTGTGTGATCTTTTAGTTTCCTTATGCTCTAAAACCTTAGACTCATACATTTGTATACCAAGGAATTTGATATAAATTAATTTAGTAGAAACTTTTCTTAACATCTGTAGAGCTTGAACTAGTAGGGCAGTTTAGTTTATCACATGAATAATGGATGAAGTCTAATCCTAACTATCTTGTCATTGAATTTTCTCATCTTATTTTAGATTTTATTATTTATTTACTTGCAAAGTGAATTAAATCAATTTATATTTTAGAGTTCTCTTCAATCCTAATCGCATTCAATTAATTCAGTTTAGTGAATTAATACGTGTTTACATCAATCTTCGTGTGAACGATACTTTACTTTCAATATATTACTTATACGATTCAGTGCACTTGCTAAAAGTGTTGTCAAGTTTTTGACGCTGTTACTGGCGATTAAGAGTTAAACACTTTTGAAAGTAGCTAATAGAACCACTATGGATGCACTTTTATCTTACGATTATTCTTTTTTTATTTTGTTTGATATTTATCTAATTTTGTTTTACTTTGTGTTGTATGCGAGGTACAATTGATCCAAATTCACTTCTCTTTGATCCAGAAATTGAAAAAAATAATTAAGAGAAATAGAAAAATAGTTAGAGCAAGGAAGAAGAATCAAGCAGAAGCTTTATCAAGACATATTATGGCTGATAACAACAACAATCTACCTTGGAGGACTTTAGGGCAATATGCCATTCCCAGTGCTGAGGGGTGTGCCTTTAGTATTGTGAGTCCACCAATTCAAGCTCACAATTTTGAGATAAAGCTTTCACTACTACAATTGGTGCAGTAGAACCAATATGGAGGAGATCCACTAAAAGATCCTAATTTGCATATTTTCAATTTCTTACAATTATACAACACCATCAGAATGCAAGATGCAAGTGATGATGCAGTTAGGCTGTGCTTATTTCTTTTTTCCTTGAGGGATAGGGCTAAGCTTTGGCTTCAATCTCAACCTTAAGGGAATATTTCAACATGGGATGAGTTAGTGACTAAGTTTTTATCTCTCAATACTTCTCACCTTCCAAGTCTTCAAGATGAGAAATGAAATCATTTCCTTCACTCAACAAGACTCAGAGTCATTGTATGAAGCTTGAGAGAGGTTCAAAGATCTATTGAGGCGATGTCTACATCATGCTATTCCTAATTGGTTACAAATTCATACCTTATGTGATAGATTAACCCCAGCTACAAGAACTATGATAGATGCAAGAACTTGTGAATCTTTGCATAATAAGACAATTGAAGAGATGAAGGAATTGCTTAAGACTATAGCATCAAATATTTATCATACTTACAAGGAGAGGAGTTTGCCTAAAAGAGGAATGCTAGAGTTGGATGCTATGCAAACTTTGTTGGCTCAAAACTCAACTATGTCTAATCAATTAGCCCAACTCAAAAAGCAGCTCAATATAAATTAGAGTGGTTACAAATATTCAACAGTTAACATGTGATTTTTGTGGAGGTAATTATCCTAATGGACAATGTGAAGTTCCCTTAGATAGTCAAGAGGGACATGAGCAAGTGAACTACATGAACAACAACCAAAGATATCCAACCAACTCTTACTCTAATAATTATAATCAAGGAGTTAGGAATCATCTTAATTTTTCTCATGGGAATCAAGGAGCTCAACGGGGATCTTCATCATTTAATCCCTCATATGGCCAATCTACTCAAGGCCAACCATATCCATTGGAGCTTGCATTAGAGAAGTTGACTAGGCACACTTTGTCTTTTGTGCAACAAACTTTTGATTTCAACTGAAATAAGAATAAATCAAGATGCAAGCATCAGAAATCTCGAAGCTCAAATTGGCCAGCTTTCCAAACAAATAGTAGAAACTTCTACGTGGTCATTTTTAGGCAATACAATAGTGAACCCAAAGGAAGACTACAAGGTAATAACTTTAAGGATTGGTAAAGATGTAGATCCTGGGCTTAAAGTGAGATAATATAAAGATGAGTTGAAAAGAAAAAAAGAGAAGATAGGTGAAGAAGAGGACAATGATGAAGTTGTTAGAGAAGAAGTTAAAGATTCCCAAACACTTGAAAAAGAAAAATATGATGAAGCGGTGATGAAAGAAGGCAGGCAACAGAAAGGGAGACTTATAGTTGATAAGTCACATTGGAAAAAGACCAAGAAATAACTCTTGGAGGAGTATGAAAAGTCATAAGAGATTCCATCATTTGTGAAGCTCCTTTACCCACCTCATGAAAAGAAAAAAGAGAAGAACATACAATTTGCTAAGTTTCTTGATATATTCAACAAGTTGTAGATTGACATTTCTTTTGTAGAAACTTTAGAGAAAATACCTTCCTATGCTAAATTTATGAAGGAACTTATATAAAAAAAGAGAAGGTTGCAAGAACATGAAACTGTGGCATTAATAGAAGAATGTAG